TGAGATGTTTCTTTTGGATATTTTTCATGTCATATATGATGCTCTGTGGTTTGGTCAAAGGCCAAGGCCCTCACACAAAATGCAGGCTGTCGCCATAGATCTTGCAATTAGATGTAGTGCATTGCTTCTGTTAGCAAAAGAAAGCCGTATCTTACAAGTGATTGCTGCTGAGTGCTTTCCTTTTTTTTACCACAGTAATTCAGTGGTACAATACCGCTCGTAGTCGCAAATAACCGCGAACTCCGCAGAACTTTGCCGAACGCGTCGCATCGCCATGTCTAGGTTCATGCAAGAAAGGTGAATCCAAGGGTACCGTTCAACTCAGTGGCGAGGCGTATTTGTTCTATATACAGTGTCACGAAATTTGTTCCTATTTTTGACTGCAAATAACTCTTTTGCCTCAAGATCCGAACCTGAGCTTATCATTAGGCTGTAATCAATATACTTGTGGTATAAACCATTGATCACGTTTAGAGGAACTACGGCAGGAGTTCTAGTATCTGAAGCCTTTGTAATTTAGCTGAGGCTTAAAAGTTTCCGAAATGTCTGAAAATGTGTAGCAGATTTTCAAGCAAGCCGATTGTACTACTTGACTTTGTACAAATTTTTGAAACCTTACAGTAAACTGGCTATTTACGTATAGCTACCGTATTCAGAAGCCGTTTTACATGTCAGGAAATTCGTAGTCGAGCTAAGTTCAATAATTAGGTTCATAATTCATCCACTTGGATTTGAAATACGGCCGTGCCATTTTCGTTGAACTGACGTCGTTCACATTCATTTTTCACAAATTCTGAGCAGTATCGTAGGATCGTCTTGGTAAGTAGCCCAAGGCACTTCGACCACAGTGATTAGTATGGATTAGTCCTTTTTTTGTAGTACGAACGAACAATGCGCAGTAGTTGTCTTTCGTATTGCGTCGCCGTCGCCAGCGCGGCCATGTTACAACTGCGACAGCGGTTTTGTCCTTTTCCTCGGATAGCGCAAACGTTTCGGCACTTTGATCATCGTAATCCTATTAGTTGTAATTGGGTATTGTTTACTTTTTCGGGTAGCATAAGATGTTCTGGCCAGAAATCTCGATTGATCATGAGTGCTCTTTGTAGAGAGTAGCATGTGTATGAATGGGATTTTTTATTTCCCGACTATGTTGACACTCTGTGTTTTGGTAATAAGCAGATGTAGCTGGCTCCGCTCCGCAAAAATGCATCATCAACCAAATGATGCATTTTTGCGGAGCGGAGCCGGCTAGATCTGCGGAGCCAGTCAGACCTATCCGTTTTTGAATTTTTTGTAAGATTTTATGCTGGACATTATTTTACTTTTTCGAATGGTAACTCTTGAATTAATGAGTAAAATCGTGAATGTTCGCTCAAAGCTATTCGAAGTGTGATTCTGATAAATCACCGTCGTCTGTCGATGTTCGAGCCGAAAAGACCTCCCGTGGTGTGTTAAACATTTCAAGGCTCACAACCATTCAGACTATCAAGCTTTCAGCAGAAGAGCGGCTGTAAAACGTTGGAATGCCTAGCTTTCAGTTTTTTATTTCTTCATCTTCTGTTACTTTTACCACCATCATGCTTGGCTTTCGGACAAATTGTACCCTTCTGTCAGAAGTCGTCTGTTGATTGCTCTCATGTTCAGAACGATTTTCTGTCCATGCTTTCCTGCGTTTATAGTGTTGTTTATGGTGAACGCTACAAGTTCTTAGCAGCTTGGATGTTGTTGTGGCGATCCGAACAAATATACCGTATGAACTTTAAGGTCTTGGCAGTCGATTTTTCTGCAACCAAAAAATAGTCTTCAAAAAGCGACAGAGCACAGGTGTGCTCAAATCCATGACGAAAACACTTTTGACATAAGCCCAAATTCGAACTGAATTTGGAAGCTATTTTGCTTCTCACAAACCTGATAAAGTCAAATTCGGAAAATATTCAGCAGCTTTTATGCATGCTTCAGTGGCGTACCGAGGTTCCCCCTCCCCCCGATAACAGGTCGCGAAATTTTAGGAAGTTACTGACATGAGTTATAAAAATGTGCAAGTGAATTGTTTATTTTTGTAGAATTATTTTAATTTTCAAAAAATTTTTAAAAATTCAATTTAGCCTTATAAAAGAATTTTTCCGGAGGCGTGGCTGGAGCCACGCCCCCTTTTTCCAGATTTTAGGGGTTGGGGGCCTGCAGAAAATTCTGAGAAGCCCCTCTAAAAAATTTTCGGAGTACGTGGCTGACGCCACGCACCTTCATTTGAAAATTTTTTTTGCCGCGCCCCCCTCCCCCGAGCCGAAATCCTGGGTACGCCACTGGTATGCTTTTATGTCAAGTCTAATCGTTGTTTATCCTTGATGCCGAGCTACCCCGTTTGATTTCATTTGCAAAACATAGTGGATTTCTTCCCCCCCCCCTCGTTTCGTTTCTAGATCGCGGTTTTGTTAGGTAAATAATTCTTCTCCTTGGTCGGTCTTATTGACAATCTGAACCTCGGGATTTGCTGCCTTCATTGACAGTTCTTCTCACTAATTAGATCTGTTATGTGCTCATGGCTTCATGTCACTAAAGTGGCGGCTGTTATCTGTCTCTCATCGATCATGGCTGCTGTGACAGTCAACCAGATCGAATTTTGTTGAATGATTAGCATTTGAATGGTGATCCCAGCTTTATGGTCTGAACCGTAGTTGCAGCTGTGAAGTGCGATGTTATTTTAAGTCAGATTAACGCTCAAAATCACTTTATTCATGAATTTTGATAAAAAATTCACATTATACTGATTTTCCCTGGAGACTCAAGCTTAAGGTCTGGACGGATTGCAGTGAATTCCAAATTTTGCATATGAAAACCCTTCAGGAAAGTTTATTTTTTGGTGGTCCATATTTTCAGTTTAGACCTGTGGTTTTGGAGTATCGAACTGCTGCATAGGTTCTGACTGTTTTCGCCTTTTGTTCGAAGCAGCTATTTTAGATTCTATCATTTCCTCTGGTGATGTTTGTACCTTGGAAAGCGTTTTGCTCAATTTTCTACACATTGAATTCCGGTATATTGAGCCTGTCGAGACTACAGGCCCAAAAGCTCATAAGGCCGAAATATGGCCCACTCAAGAAACGTGTTCTTGTAAGAAGTTTTCCACAATGTGCAGGTTAACTTAGAGCATTACACTGTTCGCTGAGAAAGGGCTGGCATATGCGGAGATTCACTTTATCATAGAATTCATTTTGCATCATCTAGGAATTGCTCCCATATTTTGTTTTCAACGGCTGTTCTTCAATCAACAACATTCCTTGAATGGACAATCGCTGAGTTTAACTCAAGAGCACTCTCTTTACCACTCGCGACGAGTAAACAATCATTTTCCAAAAGGCTTGAGTGGTGGTTAAAGATTAACGTGGTTAAAAGTTGGCTTTTCTCTTCTTCCAGAAATTTATTTGAAGATCTACGAACATCTTTTGGACACGAAGTGGTGTTCGGGTTTTTCGCATCTGGTGATGGTTAATGAATCTCTTGGTTTTCGTAGTTGAGCATCGTTATGTCAAAAAAGACGGTAAAAAAACGTGGTAGAAATTCTTTGTGTTTTGCTTATACTTCAGTTTCGTTTTTTGTAGGACTGAGTATCTGTTTGGTAGCCACAAGCTTGCCTTATCTGATCAAGTTGAGTCTATCGGATTGATTTTGAAGTTGATATTGCAAACTTGAAATCGCAAAACAAACAACTTATGCAGCGAGCTAGTACATCCAATATTCTACTAGTGAAAGCTGTATCTCTGCATGTTGCCATAAACTTGCTAAAGAAGCTTAGTATGGCGCAAAAGCTTGTATCTCGCATAAGATCGTCAACAGTTGTATCCTCTATAGTCGTTTGGCTTTCGCTATCCTCTTCAACAATATGGAAAATGGGTGGTCTGCTTTTTTCTTTGTGTGGGATTTCTTATTTTCGCAGCCTATGAATAGCATCTTATCTTTGTCCGGATGATATGCGAACCATCATTTTTTTCCTCAATGCATCAGATGTGTGCTCTTAACCCTAACAGCGTTCTAAATTGATCTCGATTCATTCTGCTGATGCGTTGCGTATACTTGCGTCTTTTTTTGTCTGCGAAAGTGCGTTAATTTCCAGAATTGCACTTTGGGTATGTGACGAGCTGAAAATATTCATCTGAATTGTTCACCGCTGGTCATCGTAGTCTCCGCTATGCCCCTGATGCGTTATTACGCTCACGACTACCGTCCCGACATTGCCGTGGAAGCTCCAGCTCGCTATGGATCCTTGCTTCATCTCGGGAATGTCTATAAGGATGGTTACTACGCCTACAATCCCACATACGATCTGAATCGTAGCGTCCATGGAAAGTCTCCCGGCTGCTCGTACACTTACCGCATGAATGTGACAATACATGACCCGGAAAATTACAGCAACACTCTCTGCTACGATCCCACGACAATAGCGAAGAAGAAGAAAGGTCGAGTACGAGCAGCGTTAATTGATCTTTTTGGAAGATCGTCCAGACGGGATTTGTTTCGGCCGGATTCATTGAAGAAAGACGAATATTGCTGTGAAACGCCGAAGAATGGTCAGCTAGTGAAAGGCTATAATCATGCGAATGCATCCTTTTCGAAAACTGTTCGAAATCGTGCTCGGAGTGCAGATGCAGCGATTTTTCTCAAGCCTGAATCGAATCGTGAACGGAAACGATATCGCGATCCGCGTGCGGAGAGACAGCGATATGAGTCTTCTGAAGCAAAGCCTCCAAGAACTGTGGAGCACGATGGGAAAGCGAGAAGGAGAAGAAGTAACTATTTTTTGGTAGTGATGAACTTTGAAATTTCATGCACACTAAAATCATCGCTATCATATTCATCAATTCAATGATCCGCAAAGTCAAGAAACTATGAATACTTGTCAAAGAATTTTTTTTGTCCAGAAAAAATTTCTGTGAAGGTTTCAGAAAGCCAGAACAGAGTGCAAACATATCTTTGTTGCTTGATGTAACTATTTCATTGCATTTCAGATGCTTTCGTCAACAGTCATGAATGGACGCTCAGCAGATCGGTCAGCGAACTCCGTTTGGTGAGTGTAAATTTCCGTTGTTGCGTTTCTTGAAATTTTAATACGTAAGACATGCTTTCTTTTTTTTTTGTAGGTGCTTCACAGTTTTTTACTTGATCAATCTTATAGGATATCAGCTCTTTTCGATGTCCTTCCATATTCTAATGAAATCTATTTTGGAAAGTATGTTCCTTTTGGTAGAGCCGTGAGAATAATTAGTTAAACGAGAACATGGCTTCTTCACCATGCTGAGCTAGTGTACCCGGCCATGACATTATCATTGTTACGTGAGTGTGATGATGAGCTCGTTCTAGGCACGGTATCGTTTTTCTCATTCAGCAAGGTTTTTCTTATCAACAAACAATGGGTCAACATAAGGTATTTACATGGCCCAATTAAGTTGTTTTTCCTTTTGCACGCTCATTCTCAAAAAGACTTTGCTGTACACATAGTTGCTTGTTTCATCAAACCGGTGAAAGAAATACGTTCTGTTCTATCTGTAGGTAAGTGATGTATTGGATGTGGATTACGGATTTTCACGGTCTTGACCAGTTCTGAATCGTCGTAAAACTTCATCACTCTTCATGTTTATTTCGTTAAGGAAGCGTCTTCATCATGATGATTTTGCGCTTTCATATTGATGGCTACTTCGAGAAATAATCCTCTATTAGAAGTCGCTTTTTCGGCTGGCAGTAATTGTCACGATTCATTTCATTAGGACAGATGACACACCTCTACCGTAATGGAGTCACAGTTCCATTTGGCAAGCAAAAAGACTAATCAGTGCGTCACAATTTCTAGAACTACTCTTGAGCGGAAGAATGGGTAGTACATGAAAGTTGAAATAGTTGTATGTCGATGGAGTTTTGCCTCTGGAAATAAGGTAACTGGTCAACTGGCTTAGGTAACTGAGTTTTTTATGAGCTTGTCTGGCTTTTATCTGCAGTATTTTAACTTTCACTCATACAAAACCCTCTCAAAACTTCTTACCGTAAACTTGAAGTCATCAAGAAGGAGCATGATTTATGTTGTGCTGGAAACTTTAGTATCTGTGCCTGAAGGTGAAAACTTTGGGACAAGGGAGTAATCAACCTCAAACACTCGGTACATTTTTTGGAATCTAGCAATACATATAGCGTCTTTTGTATCAAACTACTTGATGCCTTGTTTTCTTTGGAGTTTTAGTAGTGATCGTGACTCGCAGCATATTTTTTACAAAATCAATGATTGTCCGTCATCAGTGTCGAGGCCTTTTATTACTTTTCTAGGTACTTTTCCGTTATCCGGACCCATTTTTTCAAAAAAAGATATTGCTTCTATCCTTATACCATATTTTGTCCCAGCTTCACAGGGAGGAGGTTCAACCTTCTGCCACGTGTCAAAAAAAATTTGACATGTCATCTACAAGTTTAACAGGTTCTACCAAGAGTTTGTTTGCCCTACCTAGCGATGTAAGTTCAATCTGTTTTTTTAGTCGATTTTGACCTCATTTCGATCAAACAGTTTGAAAATGAACATGCTCAATAATAAGGGCGTACTATCACTAATGAACAGTTTAGACTTGCTCAGGTTTGAGAAGTGCGCTAGGATTCCGTCATTGGAGAGGCAAAATAAGCAGCCGCAAGGTACTTCATGCTATCATTCATAGTCATTTCGGCTAAATTCGCATGGCGAAAAGGGTTTGAAGAGAAGTACACTTTTGATTCACTGCTGAAAGCAAGCACTATGTTCTAGCATAAGTTCGTGATTGTTTTGCGCTCATGTAAAACAGTTAAACAGCTCAAAAATAACCACAAATCCTCTTTCGTCTCACCGGAAATGATCTGGAAAAAGCATGTCAAAATGAACCAAGACGTGTCAATTTTTTCGTGACACGTGCAAGGAAGCAGTCCTCGTAGAATCTAGGGGAAATTATTCTTACACTGAAGAATGCATAATGTGAGAGCCTTTTGAAAAAATGGGTCCGGATAACGGAAAAGTACCCTTTTCTAATATATGCGAATTTGCAGATCCTCTTTATGCGATGTTGGCGCTATAAAATAAGAGGATGAGACTTGATCTCTATCTTTAGGCGTCTTGTACATAAAATATGCTCCTACTTCTGTCTGTTCTTTGTGCGGACCTTCCAACAGTAGTGGTCCAGAACCTTACTGGTTGCGTAACTCGGAAATCATCGTTGCGTCGCATTCCACCTGGACGACACCATTGTGAGTAGTAGTCTCGTTCATGTGTTTGACCATGCAACCTCTGCTAGTAGCTTTTTCTTGCTGGACCCTGAAATACGTCACTGTTAACGCTCAGACTTCACAAATCTTTTTGAGATTTGTCTTCTTCCAAATAAAGAATATAATGGACAAAATAGTGTTCGCATATTGAGAGATACCCTCAAATTTTCTCGGAAATCGCTATCTGATTTTTCTTTGGTTGACCATATAGTTGTAAGCCATTTGTAAGGAGCTGACGCCTCTGTTGCATTTTTTTTGTGAAATAGGTTTGAATACTTTCAGAGCCGTGTTTATTATCTTGAAAAAGATGCGAATTTGTAAATTATTGACATAGGAAACAAAATTACACTCAACAGGGCTAAAGATTATGAGTTCATGCTCCAAAAAATTTTAGCGCTTTCTTTTCAAGAAGCTCTCAAGCACTTTTATCGTTTGTTGGTTTTACAAATTTTCTTTATCATTAAACAAAGGCCAAAGATGTTTATTTCCTAGCAGTTCTAGCAATTCGTCATTTTCTGACACATGCATGTTCGAGCTATCATCCGAATTGGGTGTGAACCAAAGCCGACCGAATCCGGTTTGATAATTGAAATATGAGGTCAATCCTACGATTTGCGCTCTCGCTATATCCCTTTCCGTGCTAGTCACATAGTTTTGCTCTTTGCTTTATTATTTGGTACAACTGAACCGTTCCACTCCGAAATAGGACCTCCTTGGACGTAATCATCTAAGTGTGGGAGCTGGCATTGACCTATTAGGTGTCCTATTACAAAGTCATTAATCACATAGTAATTCTAGAGCAGTGCCAACAATGAGCTCGATAATTTGTTGCCCAATGAGTGGTAAACAAAAAGCAAGATCTTGATCTCATGCACACAGCGGATATGGTTGATTTATTCTTGTCGTTAGTGCTAGTAATTGCTGAGGTGCTAGAGATTGCAAAAAGCGGAGTTATGTGTTTGGCACTTTCTTGGTGCCTTCTGTATTTATCGCTCCGTTGCTCATTTTGGCAAAAATAGCAATAGCCGTTTTCACCTACCTAGTTATTTTTTTTGTATATGTAGTCAGTAAATCTGATAAGGAATTTAGTGCACGTACGCTGACATCACTTTAGCGCAAAAAATGCTATAGCGATTTTTTTCAAAATCGATAATTCGTATCTTTTGAGTTTTTTCTTCCTTTATTATCGCCTTATCTTGAAAAGAATGCAGGTGGTTGAATAAGGGCAGCTAACTACAAATAACGACATATCAATTCCACAAGAGTACATCTTACGCTACACATTTCCACTCTGTGCCGCACTTTTTTTGTCCCTACCCCATTACTTACATAGGCATAACTTTTTAAAAGAATGATACAGCTCCGAATTATGATCGGCTGGTCAAAATCTAGCACCCTTTGTGCGTATTATCTTAAGTATGATTTCGTTTCTTTCGGTATTGTCCGTGATCTATTCTTTGACTGTTTGACTTCTACATTTGCTCACAATATGCTTGCTCATCGCTTGCGCGGTTTGGGTCTACATGCATTCGAAAAGTACTTCTGTGAATGTGGAGCTGTTGCAGTCACAAAAGCAAAGACTTTGAATAACGGAAACCAAAGAAATCATTTCTTGAAGGTGGAGTTGCCTTACTAAGGAGAAGGGGGGATGAAATCTTTCTTGAAATAAAAAACGAATTTGGCTTCTCCGGTATCTCACTAGGCACAAAACAAAAACTGAAAACCGCGTGGAAGAAAAACCGTTCCATCTCTCAAAGTATAGTCGGTAGCTTTTATAATTTCGTTGGGTTTGGTAGTGTTCAAATACTTAATCCTTACAAATGCATTTTACAAAATTTTTGTGCATATACAGACGCTTTGCGCTGTTCCCCTATTCTTTGTGTCGTTCTTATAAGTGGTTGAGAATATTCCAGTCTTCAAGAACCCATTAGCCAACACCGCTGATGTTAGGCTACGTGGCATCATGCTACTGAGAGGAACCGCTATTCACAGTCCATTTGGTTTCCGTTCCGAGTGAATGCACTCGATTGGTAGATGTAAAGACTTACCGCTACTGTCTGTCATCCAATCCGTCACTCTTACGCGCTGACAGACGTTGAGTCATTTGAAACGCTGGGTTAGGTGAGGTTACTGAAGGAGCTTCAGTACTTTTTATGGTAGAAATTGCGCGTAAATGAAATGTCTGATAACTTCCACAATCTTTTAGAAGAAACTCTGGAATATGCTACAAAGATAAAAAACCATCTTTTATTAAAAAAAAAAATCGGAATTTCTGAGAGGTGGGTGTCAGCGAAACTTGGTCATGCTTTTAGTTCAAGTAATACCTCGAAAATAAGTTTTTAGGTTTTTAAAGTTTTTGAAGTAACACTTCGAAAATTTCGTCCATGTGTTCCTTGTTTCATAGTATTATGGAATGTTTTTCTTTCAAATGTCTGGAGTGATTGGGTTTTGTGATAATGGCTCTGTAAAGTACGTGAGGTAAATTTCACGTCGCGTTCGATCAAAATTCTCCTGAGAAAGTTTTTTTTTGAAAGGGTGGCCCATGTCATTTACTAAGAAATTCTTGTGTCTCTCATCCTATTTTTTATTAGTGTTTTCGCGACTTCTACTGGTTTATTCTAGCATCAAATATCCAAATCCTGCATTATAACTTAATGTAGGATAATCTGACCTCCCCAAATACTGCATCTGCTTTCCCACTTCCGTCAACAATTCCTCGAGCAAGGCGCTTTTCTGTGAACTCGGTCCTTTTCTTTGTTGCAATCTGCCACTACCGTATCTAGGCAAGCCCCATTAGCATTGTTACTATGTTGTATGCGTGTTCCTCCTTATGAGTTTGCCTATAATCTTGTTAAAGGCCAGGCGGTTTGCTTTTGAAGTCCAGCAGAGAGTGTAATTAGAAGCAGCTGAGGTCATCCAGATAGGAGTTACATAAGACGAGCTCACGCGTACGTAACGTGCTCTCACGCACACCTGTCCCTCCCCCAAAAAGATCTAATCGATCTCCACTAAGCGACATTTATCCCTTAACGATGAAAACTGTCCCGTTAGCGTGCTTCCTCATAGTAATTGTGGCTATCTTGCGTTCTGAATGTTTAATTGTTTGTCAATTTTGACATCTGTCAATCCTCCGCTTTTGGGAAATTCCTCGAGTATCTCGACGTACTTCATTTGCTAGAGATTTTTATAACGTCACAAAAAATTTTTACCCAAGCTACAGTAGAACTTTGAATGAACAGTTGGAAGTATAGCAAGGCGTGAGGTGTTGCTCCATGTGTGCTAAAGAGCTTATTCGGCGAGGTGTTTGCTCCCCGTATTCAAAAATCTTTTGTGTTAACAAGACTAGATTTGCATCTACGATTGTACTGTAATAAAAGTTTATCGCTTCTCTAGCCTTTAATTCTTCTTGTTCCAGGGCGTTGTTGGTACGACATCATCTGGAAAAACATCATTAGTACATCGATACCTTACTGGTACTTTTACGGCAGAAGAAAGTCCTGAAGGTTAGTGTTGCAGTTCTTCCTTTTTTTTCTTTTTTTGTCGTTCTCCTTTCTTTTCCTTTTTGTCTGCTTAGCTAGAAGAATTGCTTTCTGATATCCTTTTTTTTTGTTCTCAGACTGAATGCATTCTGCTCGGTTCGTCTTTCACCTGTCTCAGATTTCGTCTGCTTCCCTTTCTGTATTTTGGTCTTGTCCAAATCTTCTCTTTTCTCCCATGCACTCTATGCAAAAAATGTCCAGTTTTGTTGCTTTTTTGGAATTCTTCCCATCTTTCGAAGATTTTTTAGTGGAATCTCTCTATGGAAATATCCGATTTCGGTCGTCTATCGAGTATGTGGAAATTTTTTTTGGGTAATTTCCGTAATTGTTCTCATTTACACATTCCTCTGCTCTTGCTTTCAACACATTCTTGAAAAATCGGAAGAAATACGATTCATTAATCACCTAAATAAATGCGGAAGTGTGAGTCAGTTATTCGTTCCTATCAAAAACTATCAACGTTTCGACAAAATATGGCCTTATGTTCATCAAGGTCTGGTTTACGCTCGAAGTTTGGCTTCTAACTGGCCGTGTAAATCATTCAGTGATCAATCACACACCTTTTCTATCGGTAGACAGTTGTCTCACTATTCGAATACGTGCACCATCTGATACGGTCCATTTGGGATACTTTTTGTTCCCAGAGAGTGACAACTGTCACCTCCGAGCGAAGTGTGAGGTCTCCTAAGCACACAATGTGAACTACCCATTTGTCTCTGTTTGTTTACTTTGAGGTGTTCTGCGCGTCACAAAAATCATATAGTCTTTTTGGTCCCAAAATGTATTCAACGATGATGGCAAAAAGTTGTGCGTGTTTGGTTTTGAGCTTTGTCATCATATTCATCACTATATCTGGAAGCAGTGCTAGAGTACCATCTTATGTTTTAATGACTTGTTCGAATGGGCAAATCGTCGAAATTGATTGTAGGTTGCCTTGTGCTAATTAGCTCCTCAAGTGCCCGTGGGACTAATTGCTTAGCAATGCCTTTTGTCCGCTGTCGACCTTTTCTGCGGGATTCCAACTTATGCATCGATTTGGGAGCTGAAGTGGATAGATTAGTCATTTGGAGATTTGAAGAAAATAGGCTTAGATTTTCTAGCAATTTGCCATGCGCAAGTTTTAAAATGAAATATATGGACTTTGAATTGTCAGTATACTAATGGTCAATTTCATTGGCACCCTTTTTTCGACATCAGAAAAGTGGAATACGTCGACTAATAAGAAGTCAGTTTACGAAATAGCTTTGTTTATGTTTTGTTTTTATGGATCTTTATAAAGTTTCTGAGAGAACTAATAAAAGAGATTGTGTTTACATAAATTTTTTTTGCTAGATGAGTATGAAACTTGGATCTAAGCATCGGAAATGTGAGAATGACTAACACTTTATTTGCCAAACTCGCACAAGTATTTTCCAACTAGGCGAGCTCAACCGCCATCTTCTAGAAATTTTTCAAGACTTTTAAACGGAACGGAATAAGACTTTTAAGTTGATGGTACGCGAGTAACTGCGGTTTTGTTGAAGACTTTTTTGTGAGTGAGGGTGATGGAGTTTTTTCTTAATTTTTTTTTGTGTAATTTGGCAACTGAGGCTATATTTAGAAGTTCTAGTCGACAGAGCTTTTTTGAAAGAAAAATTTACCTTTTCATCATCATCTACGCATCTCTTGCTTATCACATTTCTCATATTGTCCACACATCTCTTTTTAAAAGCCTTTGAAAGCGGATAAAATTGCAATGGTAATATCCATCACTGTTTTTTGCAGGTGGCCGGTTTAAGAAGGAAGTGTTTATTGACGGTCTTAGCCACCTGCTGTTGATTCGAGACGAAGGCAGTGCCTCACCGGATGTTCAGGTTGGTGCTAATCTTTTTTAGTGTTCAAATCTGCTGGCTTATCTGCTTTCTGTGGTTCCTTTTTAATTTGAATTCTGGAGTTGTTTTGCTAGTGCGAGGTATATACATTAGGGTTATCATTGCACATGAGTGCGTTTGTTTGCTGAGATGGTGTAACCGCACATGGCCGTGACTTGATGTCAAGAGCAGATAGTGAGGATGCACTTGTGCTGCTTGTGGCTTTGACTGATCTAGTGCTGGTGTTTGGTGTAAGACGAGAACGTGGTTGAACTGTAGCCGTCTGGCGATGGTGTTCGCGTTCCTTCTTTGGTCACAATCTGTTGCCCACTATTGAACTTCTGTTGACATTCTGATGCATCCCGCTGACAGCGCTTACGTATCCCAACAGTCTTCACAGTTTTGTTTATCGAGTCAGCTGGCAGTCAGCATTTGCTCTATCTGTTCTTTTGTGAAACCTAACTCTAAGTAAATGCCCAAATCTTGCTACAGATTGAATCTGAAGCTAGAAATTCGCTCTGGATGGTAGAAGCGGAGGGGTCATTCCGCCCATCAACGTAAGGTTTGAAGTTCAAAATTAGGTTCAGATGAGTGCACAAGTGTCGAAAGCCTAGTCATGGTATGAGGAGCAGATTTTTGACAGTTTTGGGCATATCGAAGCCCAATCTTGGACTTGTGTCTTTCGATCACCACGTTGATGGGCGGAGCGACCCCATCACTTTGACCTTCTGGAGCCATTTTCTCGCTTTGGAATCCATCTTTTGCAGCGAAACTTGGGTGTTTGCTCAGTTAGAGAACCTGCTATTGTACCCTATCAAAATCTTGCCACCTTTAATTTGGATGCATGGTGCCTTCAACCACCGATATTCCCAAGAATATTCATTGTATGAATTTTTACGCGCGATACTAATTGCATCATCGCCGAACATTTCAATTTTTCTTTTCAGTTTTCCCTGTGGGCGGATGCAGTGATTTTCGTCTACAGTGTCGACAATCAAGAAAGTTTTGAACGTGTTCGACACTTCTACAGTCATATGAATAAATTTCGGAACGTTGCCGATATGCCTGTCTTACTAGTTGGTACTAAGGTAAGCATTTCTCAAGATTTCCGTTCTCGTGGCTCATCAGCACACTTAATTTCTAAGAGCTCTTTCCATGCTTTGCCTAGCCGTTTTTTTTCTCATGAAGTACCTCTTAGGACACATTATCGGAGAAAAATCCTCGCGTAATTAGCGAAGAAGAGGGCAAGCAGATGGCAAATCACTTGAAGCGTTGCGCATACTACGAAACATGTGCGACCTATGGATTAAATGTGGAGCGGGTTTTCAAAGATGGTAAGTCCATTTTTTCTACAGTAGCCGATAATGTGTAGTGTACAAAAAATCACTTTTCCCTCGGAATCTGTTTTGGGTTGCTGAGTAAGAGATACTTGAAAATGGCGCTTGATTTTTTTATTGGAATTTAATTCGTATTGTGCTGCACTGAAGTATTTCCTATGGAGCTTTGTGTGAGTTGCGCAGATTCTTACCTAGATTGGTCTGAATGCAAGTACTGCCTTTTCTACTTCGAAACTGTTGAGAAAATACTTGTTAGAAAACATGAGTTGCTTTTTATTCTAAAATCGACGTCTTCTTGAGCTCTTTTCTTCCTTGTGAAAAGTTTGGAAAAGTTGTAGCTTCCTACAGGTCTCTTATTAGCTAGGTCGCTATCTCCATATTTCTTTGCTGGCAGAAAAATGATTGACAAAAGTCAAAAGTAATTTGGTATTCAGGAATTTGTGGTACGCTATTATCCCATCGAATTTGAGCAGTCACGTTCCTTTAACAACGAACAGAAAGTGATCAGTGACTGTTGTTATCCATGAAATGGTTATCAAGAATTTTTCGTGGCGCTAATTGCATTTATCTTGTTCTTATGTTGTAGAGTAGTCTAAAATTTGGTAGAAGAGTTCGCCCGCATATTAATCGCCTGCATATAAATGTACAGATTATTCCATTTTTTATGATGAAATGAAAATCCACTGTGTCGAATCATCTGCAAGATATTAGTGTTTTAACAGCATCATTTCTCTACCAGCGCACCGATTTCACCTTTCACTTTCGGAACCTTTGACTCTATAGGAGAGAACTCTCACTAAATTCACTTAGGTAGTGTTGAATAGGCTGAGCTTTTGGCTGTCCCAAATGCAATTTTGACTTTAAAGCCGCGCATGCTGTTATGCTGAAAAAGATCTGTCCTTGCAGAAATGTCTTGCATCTTACAAAGGAGATACCTTTCTTGGAGCATCTGTAGGGAACATTATTCGTGCACCAAGCCACTACCGTAATCTTTCCAACTTCTATTGGATTTGTTAATTTTGTATTTTGGAAAGCGTAATTCATGCGTTTTCGTGTGGTGCCAAAAAGCATTTTCTAGAATGTCGTGATGATGTAGGCTGAAAAAGGGAAACACTCGATTTTTCTAATGAGCTCGATCTTTATGAACGCTAAAAACCATAAAAGTTGTAGCGGTTTTACGAATTATTACAGTTATGGAATCTTCTCTCAGCTGATGTTATTTGCATTAGAAATTCTAATGTCTCCAAGTTATAGAAAATATCTACTTATGAAATCTGTGAACAAATAGGAGTACTTTTTAGATTATTTGCGAGTTTCGCTTGTTTCTCATAAAAGACTTCGCCAGTCTGAAAGTAAATTCGTCATTATCAATTTCCTTTTTTGTATAGTCAGCCTTTTCTTTTCTCAAGATGGAAATGTTTGTTATCTACGTGGTAGGCAACCAAAACACTTATCTGATGGTTCCTGCAGCCATTCTTACTTTGTTGTGAATTTTCTGTATACTGCTGACGCGTTGTTGATGTTGTTAGAATTGAACAGCGTATGTGATAGGAGGAGGAAACAGGTTTCCTAGTTTTATGTACAGCGTTCTCGCGTTAGACGTATAACTCACGCCTATTCTGCTTCAGTAGTTTTGTTGAGTGGACGCGCATTAAACGACGATTTGCTGAGTCAGCCTTAAAAAAGAAGTCTTTTGACTATGAGTAGATTATTTATGCGGTCATCCATCTTGTACTTTTTTGACAAATTTGCCATCCATCATTAGATTTTGATGAGTCAATTGATATAGTGCATCTTGCTGTTTATTTTTTGGCTAAAATGTCAATCCCGCATCTATTCAAAACGAAATTGTTGGGCGTCTAGAAAATTGGGCCGCTTTTGCTGCTGCAAAGGATAAGTGATATGCGAGCATTTACATAACCTGATATTATTGACATTACCTTTTTCAAATCGTAGAGCGGTATGGCTATATAGCCGCTATAGCCGTTTTCCTAACCAAAGCCGAAGTCGTCTCATTTGCCTATGAAAGGAGTAAGGCATTTGATGTACGCGCGTAATCTCTTCGTCCTTCTTCATATAGTACGACTATATGCATCCATTAGCCCGATGCAAGCGTAAATATATCGTTGTTGTACCACTCATATGTCTTTCGCTCTTTTAGGCGCGCCTAATGACATTTTGGTTCCTGGACTAATAGGTTGTGTAAGCGCTTTTTCATGCTTTTTGTTGTGTGATTCATTTCGCTGGCGCGACTCTTCAGTTGCCCACGGAAGTACATGCAAAGAGATGTTGTGCTTTTTGCATGCGTCGCGCTAGATGTAATATCCCATTTCGAAAGCGCTGCTTTCATTCTGTCTCATTCTGCCTCGAGAAGTCTTTGCGACACATTTTTCTTGAAAATGTAGGCTTGGCTTGAAGCGCTGCCACTGCTATAGTTTTTGTTTTGGTAATTACAAACATACATGCGATTCGCTAATGCACACTCATTCGTTTTCTTAGGCAAAATTGAAGTTTGTAAGAGTCGAAAAATTTTCCTGGATAAATGCAAGGTGCAAGTCAACCAATGGCAGATCAAATCACTGCAACTTCGCGCAACACCACATCTGAGGCTTGTTAATCAACCATTTGCCAAGGATGTGATGTGTATGGCCATGTGTCTTCAATCATTTGTACGATTATTGGCTAATTAACCGCTCGAGCGACGCCCACATAGCCTTTTCTACCTCAAAAAGCCGAATAACCTTTTGACACTCTAGAAATTGTGAGGTACATACATCCAGTCAGCAGCTGCACAAAATAAACAGGAATGTTAGAAAATCCAAAGCTGTTTCTCTCGAGACACTGCCTTTAATGGTGATCTGACCGGTGTAGGGCATTTTTGCAAATCATGTCATGCACCGAATGACTCATACATAGATGGTATCTGTCCGGTTATGAAATCACCAGTGATTTTCCCTAGAAAATAAATCTCTCGACTCTGTCTGGGCTTGTGCTTTTTGGCTAAGGCACACAGTATGTCGATGTGAATTGCCCTAATATAAAATTCTCCACTTTGCCTGTTCGATGAGCGATTGCGGACACTTAGCGCTGTTCGTCGATTAGCTTATTCAAACGTGTGCAGACGTCCATGCCCGGCCTGGCTGCTGGACAGTTCCAGTTTTGCTGTGCCTCCGAATCACATCTCGAACAACGCATGGCTTAGCGTGGCTAAGAAATGCCTCAAATCCGGTACTTTCCTCGAATTTGCATTGATTTTTGCTCTGAAAATGCGCTTGCGAAGTATGCTCTGCTCAGTGTGTGTTTTGCAAGCGATTTATCCAAATTCTCACTTTGTCAGTCTGTCATTTTGTTGATAAACGAGCGCCGAGCGCATCCGCCGTGGCAAACGGGGCGAGAAGCCTCGATGCAAGGCTTCATTCCCATGGGAATGCCAGCGTCTGCCATTTTGTTCTGTGAAATTTGAATGTGATTGTGTTTCTATTGTTTTGTCTCTGATTCCCAAACAAGTTTCTGAGAATTACTCAATTGTGTGGAGTGCGCTTGACGGACATATTTAGTGTTTGCTGAATGAGAGTGGTGGTGCTTGACGTTCAGTGAGCTCTTTACATGCTTCTTCACCCGCAGGCGCGCGTTGTCATGCTCTGGTGATTGAACATCGTTTGTACACCTTTTGCTCCTCATGTATCATTCATAATTTTCGAAAAATTCACACTGTTATTTTTGTGTTTCCTAAAAAACCTCCTGGGACCTTTGCTCGCCGGGTGCATGAAAACAATAATACCATTTTTAAGCTCAATTTCTGACTTAATACCATTTTTAAGCTCAATTTCTGACTATTGTTTAACATGTATCAGGTCAATGAAAAATGCTTTCTGATGCATAAAGGTTTTGAGATCTAGCTGATAAGTGCCATAATTCGGTATCACAAATATTTTGAGATTTTATTAGAGACAATATTTCGAAATTTCACTTGTTTGAAAAAAAGCCATATTGAGAAATCATATCACAAATCTTATGAATATTTCACTTGTTAAAAAAAACAGTGAGAATTATATCACAACTTTTTTGAAAATTTCACTTGTTTGATAAATAAAAGCCATAGTGTGAGATTAGAGTAATGATGTTGAATGCTTATTTGCATTTATTGATTTTACTACTTTTATCTTAGTTTCCGACTAAACTATGTTTTTGGAAACAGTTTTCAGAACGAGTCATCAACAAAGTCTGAATAAAGAGTACTTGAATGGAATCGTATTTTTTTAAAATGGCCTTTTTAACATCTTTATTCTGATTTTTGGCTTGAACCTTGTGCATAAGACTATATATGCAAAAAGTCACTGAATTTGTCCCGACTTCGATGTAACGCCCAGTTCCTGCGACGTTAATGTCGAGGAAATGTCCCATGCTCTTTCTTCTATCTCCCCCTCCCCTCTGCTCTTTTCAACGGTTCTTTGGGGCGCTTTGATGACCGATTCGATCTTTTCAATGCGGAATCGTCTTGGTGGTAAAGCTTTAGACGTATATTTGACATTTGACGTTTTCGCGGCGGTTAACCGCTTAGGAGTGTCAACAGCTCTCAGTGACTGTAACTCATCTCTTCTCATAAATATCGATTGCGCTGTAAAGACTTTGTTTCTGAGTATCTCTAAACCTTTTGGGCCGTCCTTTCTCTGTCTTTATTGATAGTTATGTGTTATATTGCAGCTTGCTGTAAAATTCTACAACAGCGATTGCGGACATCACTTGGTGGCAATACAAGGACTCCAACACCAACTGCTGGTGGTCAGGATAAGCGGGACTATCAGGTTGGTGTGAATTTGCTAAATTCGTTTCTTTTCCTTCCTAAGCTCATGAAGCTCAAGTTTGTGGTTATAGGAGGCTCGTTTTATGCAAAACGTGCTGTACGGATCCGTTCCGGCGCAGAAAACTGTTTACCATCAGCGTTCCGTCTCATCGGCACCGCTAGCCGAACAGTTTGGAGGATCGCGAAAAAGCCACGTGCATCAGCGTGAAACACCTGGAGCATCTTCAGGTTGTTTTTGTTATCATATACTCTCATCAAATTATTGCGTAATTTTCGTTATCGTTGGGAGCGCCTTAACTAAGTTTTTGTCGATCAATCATGCCACTTGATGGTGTTTGTTACGTTTCCTTTTGTTGTTCATTGTGAAGACTCTACGAAACAATGAGTCATTTCCGACTTCTGACGCTGAAAAAACTTTTCTGCCTCCTTGTCAAACTCTCATTTTATAGCCCAACGTTGTGGTGATCGCGCGGTATCGGCTTTTGTGGTACCATCTGGGATGCCTTCGCAATCGCAGTTTGGAAGTCGTGCCAGCCAAATGGACTATCGAGGAATTTCTCCAACCAACAGTCAGAAGAGCATGAGTAATGGTTAGTTTTGTTTTTCGAAGCTCAATGGTCTGTATTACGGTAATTCTCGTTTGATGTTTTGGTCGATTGAATGGTTAATCGGCTAAACTATCATGCTAACCCTGCGCTCAAAAACTTCTTGGTCGTTGCTCATTCATAGAAATTCTCTGTTCTTCGAAGTATTTTCTTTCACAATTTTAGTAAAAATCTATCTAAATGAATGTGACAGCAAACTCAGAAAAGAATCGATCAAGGCTAAGTGGTAGCAAATGGTTTTTCATATCCATCGGTGCTGAGAATCACAAGTTTATTGACACTCAGAGGCCGTTGAGATTGTTCCTTTTTCGTCCACTTGACGCGATGTGTGGCGATGTTGGTTTTCTGATCTCGACCACAATGAGCCGCAAAGGAATTGAGAAAATTGCACATGAGCTATGGGGCGCCCCCAGTGAGAAGGAAGAAGCGAATTTTGGTCATGTCAGGTTTTGGCTAGGAACTGGTTGATCTCAATTTGAACTGACTGTGTTCAAGGACTCTTTGCACGTAAATTTAACCTTTTTTGTGGTTTTACGAAGGGAAAAATGGTTGATAGAGCTATTTCTATCACCGCGGTTATGGGGGGGGGGGGGGGGAAGATGCTTTAAAAGTGGTTTATGTGTCTCGCTCCAAAAAGTTTGAAAATTTTTTTGCCTTTCATAAAAAATCAATTAGCTTTGTAAAAAATTTGAGGGCGTTGCCGCCACACCCGTTGAATTTCAGGGTTATCAACCAGCAATGATCTTGGAAAGCACGCCTAATTTCTTTTGCATACGTAATTAAGATGTTTTTCTCTTTTTTCTAAATTTTATCGTATCGTTATCGTTGGAGGTAACCAGTCCGCAATTTTGTGGTATTGTATCACATTTTTCCAAGCTTTTGTCCATTATATGTGGACATATGTATGCTTAGACTTTGATGAGTGCTGATGCTTCGCAAGATTGCGAGGAAGATTAGGGGAACACAAAGATTCGTCGGTTTTTGCTATGCTTGCGCTCGCATATCTAGACAATCATCGGCATAAAACACGTTCGTCTATGGATTCTGGGAGATTTTCTTGATGCTCCTCTTCCTAGGAAATGGGGAACGGAAGTATCAAGAATTTATCATTTCCTTTTGCGTCGAGCGCTGATTTGATAAAAACTTGGTTGAAACTCTGGGTTTTCTTATGATGTGTCTCCAATTTGGCTCAAATTATGATCGTTAAAATTTTGCTTCATTTTTCTGCAATAATAATATGTAAAATTATGTAGAGGAACCTACGCATTTTGTTCGAACTTCCTTAGTGATCGTGTACAACAACAAAGATTCATTTCTGAGTAAAAGACTTCCAAAGATACAGTAACAGAATCACTACACAACATTCACGGTGACCCCTGTTCAATTACTGTTCACCGCCTCTTGTAAAGTTAAGTGGTACGGCTTGGCTTCGAGAAAAAATTCTTGGTCTTCGAATACAGGTAGCCACTCAAAGTGTGCGCGCACATTCGCGACATTGAATTAATGTCGAACAGCCAGTGCGTTCGATGAGTAGAGGCGCTAAAAACTAGACTCGAATCGCGCAGCATGTTCATATCCTTAAGCGTGGAAGCAACGCTCTCTACTAGTTCTGCGACGTTCTCCATTTCACCTTCAGACTCAGTCAAGCTGTTCCGATGTTGTAGGTATCATAAATTTTCTTTAAAACTTACGGTCTTGCTGAGTATAACCTAGTAAATTTTAGAGTTTGATAAGTGTGTTGTGCGATGCGCTTTACCGATGATACTGTGCTCTACGAGCACTTTTTTGGGCGCAAGTGGCAAGCAAGCTGTGTTATTTACACATGACAATTATTTTCGCGCAAATGTTGTCTTTGGCGCAGGGGCACTATAATGTAAATTTTCCTTGAGTGTAGGTAATAACTTGAAATAGGGATGATGGTTGGTATGTGTATTCAGTTTGAATAGTACATTTTGATTAGGTACATCAGATTATTTTCGCGTTGTCACAGACAATAACTGCAAAAATTTAAGCTTCGATAGACAATATTATTCCCCTGACGCAATTTCAACCTCCTCTCGAAATATTCTAGTTGACTGTCAATGGATACCTTTTAGGTTTCTTTCAAGGGGAAATGAGACAATTTTTTTGAGTTTTGGTGTTTGGCATGTCATGATTATATTACAGGCGTTCATACCCGCTCGTCGGCTGCATTACTCGATCCTGGAAGCGATTTCGGTCAAATAGGTTCTGGCCTAGATTCGCATTCTCTTGCTAGTGCTTCTACCTCACATTTACCTACTCCCTCATCGACGCCAACAACTCAGAGAAAAAACAGAAGAATATCGAATATTTTCGTGAGATTTTGATTCTGTGTTCTGAAGGTACTGCTAAATTGGATTTCGTTTAGCAACGTCCGAAAGACAGCGAGGATAAAAATAAAGCGCAGACCGTAAATCTTGGAGGAGGACGAGAAATTCCGATCAAGGAGGGTACGATGCATAAAAGGAGTACGAAGGGTGCATTGAATCGGTGAGCTCATTAAGTTTAAATGCTTGTTGTATGTTATTGAGCCTAAATTGATGTTGGATCAGTGGAAAAGTAATTCCGTTAATAATTTTATGTATTGCAGCGAATGGAAGAAGAAGTACGTATGTCTGTATGGAGATGGTAGGCTAACGTATCACCATACTCAGAAAGATTATCGTGACAAGCCGAATCATGGAAAAGAGGTGAGCCTAGTGCTTTTAGCGAATTCAGATGTGATTACCGGATTTTAAACCCTAAACCTTTTTTCTCAGGTGTTTCTCGGCCTTGCTACTGTGCGAATAGCCGGACGTCAACGTCCTCGCAACACTCAGCGAGGCATGGGCACGAGCCAGTTTGAAGAGACAGCGAATTCGACGAATTCAGTGAGCTCGGTCGCACTTCGACCGTATGAACCGAGGAGGAGTGATGCTGGTACGTTAATTGCTCTTTTTTTGTGACTGTTTCGAGAATTTTTTCTATTAACTTTGCAACTACATGGTCGGACGCTTCATTTTTTACAAGAATTCTCGCCGGTGAGTTATGTAAAATTTTTTATCCAGGAGGTGGATCTGGCGAGGGTACATCTGGTGGTGGAAGCGATGATGCAAAAGAAGCTTCTCCTGCGATACAGCTCACCCCACAGACTGTAGCCGGCCACAAGAAACGAAGAGGCGGAAATCGAAGAATAGGAGGATCTGCTGGAAAACAGACAGACGAGGATGACGAATGTTTCGAGGTTTGTGCGGTTTTTATCTTATTGTCTGTGTTAAATTTGCAAAATTTGGCTATATGATATTTTCTGCTTTCTATGTTTCACATTCTTACATTTCTAAAAGAGTTGTCAAGTGTTCACGTTTTCAGATCATAACATCTGATCAGAAGCACTGGGAATTTTGTGTGGCAGCCGAAGAGCGCGATGCTTGGGTCGCTGCTATCGAAGAGCAAATAGAAAAAGCGCTCCAAAATCAAATGAGTAAGCCTAGCACGAGAGCCAAAGGTGGCAAAGAAGAGGTGAGTAAATTCTTAACTGGTTGTTTGTTTTATTACTGGAGTGTTTTTATCTTAGGTTCTTGCTTTGCGTCGACTACCGGGCAATGATCGCTGTGCTGATTGTGGCCAAACAGCACCAGATTGGGCTAGCCTCAATCTCGGTATACTGATTTGTATTGAGTGTTCTGGTACCCATCGCAATCTTGGATCGCACATCTCGAGGTGAGAGATTCGCTTCCTTTTTTGCATTATTTGAAAGAAGCGAGATTTTTTATGTTGTAACTTTTTTATTACAGCGGAAGGAAGTTTTTTTTTGGTTTTTTCTTTTGAGCAATTCAAATTTTCTCAAAACGCTGTTTGCCGTATGGTATTGCTAACACATGAGTCATTCTGATTACAAAATGAACTCGGAACATACACAATATCTTCCTTTCCAAGCATGATTAATCATCACCAAGGAAGTATTATTCAAGATAACATTGTACATTTGGTCATTTTTCAGGGTACGTTCCCTGGACCTGGATTCTTGGCCAGTTGAGTTTCTGGCAGTTATGCAGGCAATAGGAAATGATGCTGCAAATCGGTTGTGGGAGTACCACGCTCCAGCAGATCGGCGACCTCAACCAGACAGTCCACTGTGAGTTTGATCATCTTTAATCAGTGTTCCAAATAAAGTGGTTGACGTTTTTGCTTTTCGCGTATGCATGCAGAACACACTTCAATTTTTCTTGAATTGTACAATTTATGTTTGTAGAAGGTATTAGTCTATGCACCTTCAAAAAGTTGTTGAGCGGATTGATTTTATTCTGCCTAATGTGTCACAGTGCCAAATTTTCCTTTCCGAGAAAGCAAAAACCAGCTTCTTGTGCTGCCTCTAGAATCACGCTGACTGCCTTGGTTTTGTGTCAATATTTGTGGTCGATTTGCGCATATGGTATTTGTTAACTTTGTTTGAGAGAGTTGACAACATCTAGCATTGAATGCTTTTTTATACGGAAAGCGTCCAGCGTCAATCTGGCATAGCGACACTCGCTCCACTTGACATACATCCCTCCTTTTTGCGTTTGAGAACAATTGTTTGATTTCTGAATCGCAGGGATGCATCAGAAATCTAAAAATCATTAGAAGAGTTTGTGAGCAGTGTAAATTTCAAAAGATTCCTTATCAGACAATCCAAGATTCGCAGTTGCCAATGTTTCAATGTATTCTTCCTGGTTTTTGCAAATATAAAATGGATGGTTTTTTTACAAGAAAAACACGTATCTGTTTGAGTTAAAATCATCCAATGACCCTTATCTGCCGATATGATCGCTCGCTTCTGGCCACTATGATAATCAGCTTTTCATTCGTTATATGGGGACTGCCAAATAAAGCAAGTAGTCTGAAAAAGTCGTTTATTTTTTCATGAATGCTTTTTCTAATGATGTAATTTTTTTTGTGTGCCACCGCCGATCGGACATTTTTGGACTATTGGACCTGTTTGATATCAGCTGAACGATCTTTTCCAATCATAACTGTCCCTTTCTTTCAGCGAAGTCAAAGAAGCATGGATCCGTGATAAATATGAAGCGAAACGATTTTTACCTTCACTCCGAGTGGATGCCACTGTTGGTTCGCAGCTTGTCGCAGCTGTCATTGCACGAGATGTCGCTGAAGTATCGTTATTGTTGGCCAGAGCCTCTCCAGAAGACGTGAATACAACGGTTTCTGGCACTAGAGATCGGAGGTCACCTTTGCATTTGGCCTGCAGTATCGGAAGTCTTGCCATTCTCCAGCTTTTGTTATGGGTGAGTGCGAAATACTACAAAATTTTTGCGATATATCTGGAGTGAAAATTTGATTCTGTTACAGAATAATGCCGACATCCGTGCGCTTGACGAACAAGGGCGATCCGGTTTGTGGCATGCGCGGAATAGCGGATTCAAGGAGTGTGCAGATATGTTGCTGACGGCTGGCCTTGAACCTAATTATGGCATGCCTTCTGCGTCAATGCGTGATTTGGCTCACTCTCCACCACCTGAGGTTCATTTTTGGCTACTTTTAAAAGCATCCTCCACCCAAATGAGCTTGGTGACATTTTGATGCAATACAATAGTGTGGCCAACCAAATTATCGCCCAAGTCTCTATGTAAAACGTCAAGTCAGAAGCGAGGAACTCACTCCAGAAGGTTCCGACGTGGGTGTCTGAAGGCAGCAGCAAAACTAGACTCAATACGTCCTAAAATGTCAGGAATCCGCTTTTGAGGTCGATGAGTATACAACATCTAAGTAGTCCATTTTCTGGCTCAATCTTTTAGCCACCCATGTTGATGGGCGTGGCGACCTCAACAGCACTTACCTTCTGGAGCGGTATTTCTGGTTTTGAACACACCTTTTGCAGTGGGATTTGTCTTACTTAATCGAGGGCCTCGCTGTTGTATTGCATTAAAATATCACAAACTTTAGATTGGGGTGGACGTGCCCCTAAGACTTTTTTCTTGTGAAATGTTGCTTTCTTCAAAAATCTTTTACTGCCTTTCTTTCCCATCGCCGTACCTTTATAGTTCTATTTTAGGCTGCTATGCTCGGATCAATCTCAAATCGCGATTACTCCTGCATAGGTGACGAAGTAGTTCTGCGGAGAGCAGCGCCAACGATTGCAACGCCTGGAAAGCGATCGACAAATGCGTTCGATATGCTACCGGCAAGCATCATCTAGCCACATTCCCATGTTTTTCTGTTCGCTTCATTTCATACCGGTTTTTTTACACAATTTCTTATCGATCGATTTGTGCCTACTTTTTTTGTATTGCTAAATTCGAATATATCTAGTCTCACTTTCTTAGACTGTTTTTTCTATTGCGGGCGATTCGCGTCCTCATTCGACTTTTGCCTGTCATTCCCTATGATCTCTTTGACAGTTTTCGTTTTTTTTTTAATTTTCAGCAGACGATGCCTATCATCCAGAAATGTTGCCCACTCAAAACTCCTCTATCATGCAACTGTCATTCCATTTCTTTCGTTTGTACTCCAGCTGCATCGATCCAGTGCTCTCTATGTCTATAATCTTTTGATTGTTATAATGATCTGCGTTATCCACTTCACTCGATTTCATGTTCGTTTTCAGCTCTTCGTTTTCCTCAATTTTTCTTCCTGCACTTTCCATACACGAAATGTAAATATATAAAATGTTCAAGCTCACATGTGAGCTGTATTATACTGATGAATCGTCTATAAATTTTAAATTTCACTATGTTCGGGATTACAAAGTTTCATGCTTCATTAATCTAGCAAAGAATGGTGGGAAATCTAAATGAAGAGGTTCTGATGTTTATCAACAAAAATTCGAAATTTCTAGACAAGCTCAAAATACATGATTGTAGGTGGTAGAATATGTTGAAAAAGATTTCGATGAGCAGCATTTGAACTGTCATTTTTCTTTAAGCACATATCAAAACAACAGCTGCGATGAGAATAATTTCGTTCGCGGGAAGCGGCGTAAATTTATCTCGAGTGAAGGAACATGGCATGAGCCATGTTCTCCGAAAATTGGAATTCCTCTCAACCTTTACTGGTCCTGTGATCTTGAAATCAGATTTAATTTGAATTCTAAAAAATCTAAAATAAGAAAAACTCACTTGCGCGATTGTATTTCGAACTTTAAATCACATATGAATTTGGACTTTGTTAAGATTAGCACCATTACAGTTGCGAAAAAAAGGTGGAGCAGTAAACCCAGTTTTTTTTAACGCTCACTGGACTGACTGGTCAAAGCAAAAAACAGTTGAAACTTGCTGGTGGTAGAGCTGGAACCCAGACTGCGGGATTTCCTGGTGGATATATTATGAACATAAACATATTTTTCACAGTTCACTACCAGACCTAGAAATATGGAGCAAAGAAATTCCTAGTCTGCTTTGAAACTAGCAGCTTGGCGAGCGGGATATAGACAGGGAAGCCCAAGCCGAGGGGTGTGGTGATAGAGGCAGCGAACGCAAAGGGAAGCAGCCAACGAGGAGCCAAGGAGTGAAGAAGCCATAGGAATACGCAAGAATCCATCTGAGCAGTAAAAAGGCAAAGTCGTATCCAGTCTTCCCCGTACGAGCGAGAAACCTAGCAGTTCCAAGAAACAAAAAGAAAACACCCATTTTCATTGATCATACCAATATTTCACCAAATCCACAAACTGTATACCCACATCAGATGAGGATGATAACGAGCATCTCCGATTTTCTCACATATCGAGGCAAGCGATTCCAACAACGAGGTGGATATTCCAGAAAGTGCAATGTCAGTGAAGAAACCTCCAATCATTCTCATGCTTGACCGCAAACCTTGCACTTCACCAGACTGCATTATCTTGCTGCTTCCAAATCTATCACAATCCTTGTTTTATCTGTTATCAAGTACGCTTTGTCGTCAAATGCTTTCCTCTCTCTACGTTTAAGACAAAACTTCACGGTCAAAACGAGAAAGTGGTCAGGAGTATCTTTCTGCCTTTCCGAGAACAATTTGGTTGCGGTAGGATAACGCGAAAAACTAGGCAATCTCAAGTTCTGCTGCAGAAAGTTTATTCCCAAGCGAAAAAATCGCTATAGAAGGGGATATTGTTGGGATCGTCACACCCACCAACTAGGTGGTCCAGAATGAGCGCGAAATCAGACCCATTAGTATGCAAAAATGTCGAGTGATTGTGATCAACACCGACACCATTCACTTCGAAATGTACCTTTCACATCGCTTTGGCAATCATTATTAAGAAGCCTCGGTACTGCACTGCACCAAAATCTCACCTCATTTTGAAAAGAAGGTGCTTTCCAGTGCCATTTTGGATATTAACACGTTGACGACCGCGCCATTTTTGGCGAAACCTAACGTCCTTCGCGCATTTGGCCCGTGCATAAGCGCGGATGCACGAAAATATTATGTGGGAGTCCTTTTGCCGCTTATTCATAAAACATGTGAACTTTGTTCACAGATACATATATATCACAGAGCCTTACCAGAACTTACACAAATCAAGGTTTTGCGTGGATTTTCCCTCCCAATAACCGCGCAATCGCTATATTGGAGGAATTTCTTTTCAAAAAACGCTGCAATACCAGGTATTTTTTGCTTGATTCATCCTTTTTTGCTTTCAAAACAGCTTTACAGAGTTTTAACCTTCTTGGAAAAACATAATTAGCATGTGTTTACCTTACCAAAAACCGACTGATTACCGACCAATTTTGCGGCCCAAACTTCTGAACAGCTGCCGCGATGCCCTGTGTTCTGTAAAACTATCAGGTCACCAGTAGTATTACTGCATAGAAGTTAACTTAAAACTTTTTGTTTACACCTAAAAAACTAGCGTGCATATGCGCGGATGCAGGAAAATGCTAAACGGGAGTTAGGGCGTGCATACGCGCGGATGCATACAGTCGTCAACGTGTTAATCATGAAAACGAAACAATCATGTTAACCTGCTAATAATTCATGATTTCAGTCCAAGTCGCTGTGACCTGCGGTTCAAATGACGATTCTCAAGATTAGTATACAGAGGTGTCATCAGAAAATAATAATGGTTACCTTGATCCATGACATCACTTCACATCTTGATAATTGTAAACAAATCGCATACTATTTGAGTTCAATACTGGAGTTGCCTGGAGTTCATACAATTACAGTCGAGTAGATTTTCCGCTTAATGGTTTAAATACATGCACTGAAGGTGGAATGCGGTAAAATTTGCGCGTGAGCAAGTAGCCACGCCAGTAATGCCAACATTTTGCGCGCGCAAATGACCGGCGTCACAAGCGTAGCTATATTTTTACGAGCAAATTTTACCGCATTTCACCTTCAGCGCAGGCCATACCCTCGATACATAGAGCCACGTACTCTGGTAACCTTCACTTTGAGGGCTATGAGGGGACACAACCTTCACCTGGAAAAAAACAGAAGTCATCCGGGGAGAAGCCCCGGATGTTATCATCCTGACTATTTCGGAACGAATCCTAAAGAAGCAAATATAGGGAATAATATCGTTAGTTTATCTCAGCGAAACCGAGAATTTGCGTTTTATAGCCTTTTTTACGCTGAAAGGAAGGTTTCTGTGGAATTTTCGCCAGAATTCAAGACGAAATTTCTCTGTTAACCTCTCATTTGAACAAAATTGAGTATCTGAAGTTTAGGAAAGCTGTTGGAGTTATATTAAAAGAGAAACTGCGTTTAAATCTTCGCAGAGGGTCGCGCATGAGAACGCTGGTCTATCTCGCTAATGAGTGGCTTTCAAAGCTTGGGACGTTGTCAGTTCTCCTCGCCGTGTCATGACGATCAGAATGATATATAATGTTGCAGGGTTTCGTGGAGACCCCGCAGAGATCTACGACCAGAGCCAAATGCCCCTTCGGCTCTGGTCTGTCTCCGCGCGCTGCGCGCTACCTCGCCCAAACGCGGGGAGCGGGGCATTTGGCTCTGGTACCCTTTTCTTCGCTGTTTCGAACCCAATTTTAGCAAGCTATATATCATTTTGAAGCTCTTGATCTCTATTTTCACGTTGACAACGTCCCAGAACCACATTCTTTGATTTGATCGAGAAATCCGGCAAAAACCTTGTTTTTGAAAATCTCTTGTTTTTCTTCTAGTTCAGCTCTTTTCACGTGGTTTTTTCGTGCATTCTATAGACCTTGCTTCTGCTCATAATGCAGACAACCACCCAGCCTTTAACTCTTCGATTATTGTGGAATTTTTTGCGAAAAATCGTAAAAAGTGCGTTTTTCTTTAGCTTGTTCTGTTTCAGTGCTTTCGCAGCGATTTTTTTCCAGCTTAGGCGATTGTTGCTTAGAACAATAAGCGCAACAATCCAGACAACGTCCCAGGAAACAGGAACGTCAATGTGGGGGTAAAAATTTAAAGGACGCATCAAAATTCAAAACCCCGTGTCGCGAATCGCTGGTCCTGGAACGAAAACTTGCACTTTGAAAAGCCGCCAAATGAAAAATTTCAAACCTTTTTGCAGCGTTTTTATCCGGTTTTCAGCCGTTTCTTTTGCTTTTTATATCCGTTTTACGTCATTTTCTCATCTCTGATCTTTCTTGGACAACCTTCACTATTTATGACGTCAGATGTTCAAACAACCTTCACTTTTGACGCCCTGTCTCTAGACTATCGAAGGTATGGCGCAGGCACACTATATTAGGCGGAAAATCTACTCGACTGTAACTTTCTAGCTCCTCATTTTTCTTAACTTTCATTCCCTTCATTTTGTGGTTGGTGTTCTTTTAGCATTATCACTCGTCGAGTGTATTAATATAATAATAGTGCGTGAAGAAGTTCAGAGACAGACTTGAGTTGCCCAAGCTGGCTGAGAATTATGCGCAAATCGGGAATAGAAAAATATTACCCCACTCTGTTAAGTCATATCAAGACCAATTTTGTTAAAACGCTGCACATGGTGCTACGTGATATGTTGCTATGATTTGGGTTCACAAAGCGGGGTGATGACGACAAAAAGATCAAAAGAATGATATTCAGACTACATTTAGAACTCAGGTATAGTTTCAAAATTTGGAATCTCCGGTAACTTTGCATAGAGGGGTGATTGACATGCTGATTTCGAATAACTAATCCTGGGACTGCCACCTATGTAGCAGTGACAGTTCCAGGATTTCCGGCGAAGGAGGGGAGGGAAGGGACAAAAAATCTCTTGAGTGGAAGTGTGTGGCCTCAGCCACACACTCTGAAAAAATTTTTGGGGGACCCATGACCCCGAAGCAGCTACACCCAAGAAAAATTCTTTTACGAGGCTGACATAATTGAAGAAATTTAAAAATTATTTCAATTTTTTACGAGTATAAAAGCCACTTGCACATTTTTATAATACACTAGCTGGCTTACCCGGCTCCGCCGTATCCGGACCAAACTTGGCACACATACACTTCGGGCCCCGGCGGGTGTCACAGTCCACTTTTCGTTATCGATCGATGTCGATTTTACCGATTTTTATCGATTTTTTTTTGCAGAGTTCACCCACAGGGCTAGGAGTTGGCACAGGGGGGAAGTGAGCATGGGGATTCCGAATACAATATTAGTTTTCAGAATTATCGATTACTTTTATTGATTTTATCGATTTTTTGTAAATTTTGACATGCGAGGCTGGGATTTTGCACAGGGGGGTAATCGAGCATGCTGATTACGAACACAATATTAGTTTTCAGGATCGTCCATTACTTTTATCGATTTTATCGATTTTTTTGT